AGAAAAGGTAATTTTGCCTTCTCCGAAAGACAGTCAAGCCTTGGAAGTCACCAAATGTTCGTCGTCATCTTTTCGTTAATTTGGCATCTGATACCAGGCAATCTCCACCTCATTCAATCGCAAATATCTCGATTTCCCTTCAAGATAAATTGGAATTTAAAAAAATGAAAAGTGAGACAAATTTACTAGCGTGAAGATGGCACCAGTAACTCCATATTCCCCCAAACTGACGAGCGCCTGATTCCACCACGTCTTGACTCAAATGTCCTAGTGAGACGAGTATGAAGGGGTGAGCCGAATCATAAGCTTTGCGCAAACTGACGTAGAAAAGCAGCAAGCACAGAGATGATTGCGGTGCAATATCCGGCCAGAAACTAGACTGTTCCAAACGTAACTCCACAGGGAGCGGCCGCCAGCAATATGGTATTTGTAGGGCATGGCGGTGAAATCAGCCGATGGTCGAAATAATGAAATCGAAGAAGTCTGCATTTTTCGGCCAGTTTTGAGTTTTTTTCGAATTTTTGTTTCTGTGGCTGAACGCCTAGTATGTCCATTCAAAAACATTCTTATATGTGTGGATTGTATGGAAAAACGTTGATTAACAGCTCGAAAAATGTACATTTGCATTTTCCAAGGCCTCTTGAGCTATAGAGGTCACCAAACTGTGGCAGCCATTTTCTCGTTAATTTTACATCTGAAATCAGGCAACTCCACCTCTTTCAATCTCAAATATCTCGATTTATATGGAAGATAATGGACATTTTTTTTGTCAAGTGCAACGCAAATGAACAACCTTTAAGATGATACTAATAGCTCTATATACGCAAAAATTAACGAGTGCCTGATTCTATCGCGTCGTGGCACATTTTTGTATCTTTAAAAAAAACCCAGTTTACCGACGTCTGTGGGGTAGCTTTTTGCCCCTTTGCTGTCGCACGTAGGAGACCCGAGTTCGACTCCCGAGAGTGGATACATTTTTATTATGTATCTCAGTCATTCTGCAGGGATGTCGCTCCCCTCTGAGCTCCTAGAGGTAACCTTCTCTGCTCCCCGCCCCCTCCCCCGCCCAGACTCGCATTGAACATGTTCTAAGAAACATCTTTTGTTCACTTTCTTTAACTTCAAAAGTGTTTACATGTTGGTTGAGTTTAGAATACCGGCGTCACCAACTGGGTAGGGAAAAAGATTAGGTCTTTTTTTTCAGAGATCGACTCTTTCAAATAGTCTATTTGACTCAGATTCGTAAATACTATGTTTTTCTAAAAAGGACAGAGTTGATATTCCTCTCGTGTCTACTAGTATTTGTTCATGTGTCAGTATTTGGGTGAGACGTTTACAGCATTCTGTGGTGGTGAATTGAATGGCGAGACTGTTCGTTCATGCTCACAGAAGGTGTGTACCTCCTTGAGTCTGCCTGGATATTGCAAACCACTCAGCTCGTAGTGGTCCTTTGATTCACGATAATCATTTTGGATTCATACAATTATTTGATTCGGTGATTTCATTTCATTCATTGTATTCATTGTATTCCTTTAACGTTAAATCATTGCAATGATATGGCCCATTGTAATAGTGTTAGGCTGTCATCAATGGAATAGAGATCATATTTCTGTAAGACGGGCTGAATAAACCCTGCCTTTTAAGGAAAGCCAGGGCTTTGTGGGAGTAAACATCCTGACTGACAGAAGCAGATACTCCATAAGACAGCCTCCCGCCTCAATAATCGAACTCACAC